AAAGAAAGAAAGTTGAATTTTATTCTTTCTTTTGTTGTTAAATTTGTTCAAAAGGTTTTCAATTTATATTATAGATATTTTTCCTACTTTTGTTCTCTGAAGTAAACAACTATAATGTGGTTAATAATGTAACCATTGTAATTATCCTATAACTTTTTAAATGAATAGAATATAATCTTGATTAATTTAAGCCAATAATTAATATCAGCTTCTTAAGCGTATGCTTTCTAACATATTTTTAAATCTTGAGTGGTTTTTCTTATTGCAGGAAAAATGTTAAGCAAGTGTACATATTGTGCCAAATGTAAATCCTTCTTACTTTTGCAGTAGCAAAAATTGTATGTTGAGATTACTATAGTTAGATTTGAATTTTCATAAAATAGGAAATTCAGAAATCAATTTCTGTAGCTACACATTGGAAGAGTTCATTTAATAAAGAATAGGCTGCATGACTGTCTGGGTTATGTATATGAGTTCAAATATAGATCAAACTCTATTGGCCACAATTGTGATTTAATTTTAGTCATTTTGAGGCCTGATTATAATTTACAATGTCTCTTGGTTTTTGTAGTGTTCTCAAAAGTTGTCCTCACAACTAAAATTCTTTTGACAAGCTTTGAAACTAGAAAGTCCAAGATTTGATTTAATATCAGCTGGTTGTATAGCATTTAGAAATTACGTATATGGTGGGGCCGTCCTGCTGGAATAGTGGTTAAGTTTGCACGCTTTGCTTTGGCGGCCCAAGGTTCATGAGTTCAGATCCTGGGCATGGACCTATACATCACTCATCAAGCCATGCCATGGCAGTGTCCCACATACAAAATAGAGGAAGATTGGCACAGATGTTAGCTCAGTGACAATCTTCCTCACCAGAAAAAGAGAAAAAAGAGAAATTATCTATATGGTAAAAATTGGCCTTCTGGCTCACTTGATGCAATCCTAGTAAATATCTTGGTTATGTTGGACAAACATGAGCTGTGATAAATATGTACAGCAATTTGTTAATGAATCATATTAAGTATTTGCATTTTATTGTTCACAGTGGGTAATATAAAACAAGGAATTTCAAAATCTTAGCAAAGGAGATCCCCCAAATAATTAGAGAATAATATAGAGATAAATCATGTACAGAAAGACACTTTTATGGACCCAAATAGTCAGGCTCTGAGAGAGGAGCATCCTGAAAATGATGAGATCTAAACTGATAACGAGGTCAAGAGACAGTGGGAAACAAGAGAAACATGATCTGGGAGGTGGGAGAACATAAGCTTGGCACCTTTGAGAGAGAGAAAAGAGAACAAGGCAACTGTACTAGAGGATATGGTTTGCTTCTACCTATTCACCTCACATGAAACCCAGATTGTAGTAACCTTGTTAAATTTTAGTAGTATTCAGTCCAGATATATGGTATCTTGAGATGCTACCATTATGGACCTCGTTTTTTCTACCATAGTTAGAAATACCAAACTGAAGAGGAATAGAAATCATCATAGGTTGAGCTCCCAGGCTGTTGAATTGAGCGGGCTCATGGAAGGTCACCAATGAAAAAGAGAGGAATTGTTTTAACTTAAAAAGAGAAGTCCCAGGCCAGCCCCGTGGCATAGTGGTTAAGTTCGTGCACTCCACTTTGGTGGCCTGGGGTTCACAGGTTCGGATCCCAGGCACGGACCTACACACTGCTCATTAAGCCATGCTGTGGCAGCATCCCACATACAAAATAGAGGAAGATGGGCACAGATGTTAGCTCAAGGCCAATCTTTCTCACAAAAAGAGGAAGATTGGCAACAGACGTTAGCTCAGGACCAATCTTCCTCACCAAAAAAAATCCCCAGAGAGTTCCCTTTTAAGTGTCTGGACCTGCCTACTAGTTTCTTCTCCTTCATCTGATCTGGGACCACAGTTAATGCTTGCATGCCCATTTTGTTTATCAAACAGAACACCTGAATTTAGAAAATGAAATATGAATCTGGAATATGAAAAGGGACTGTGAATTTAGCAAAAGATCTTTGGGATTGTTGGTATTTGTTTGAAGACCCAGATTAGATAAATTACAGAAGCCTTCCTAGCAAGATGGCTTGTTTTCTGGGTAATATTTCATTATATTATAACAACGGCTTACACTGAGAAAATATTCAAAGAAACTTTCATATGAAATTTATTATTTAATTTCTGGAAAGATGCTGTTGAGAAAATTATTGTATTGTCCAGTGTTGCATTATTGAAAAGTATAGAAGAAATTTCTCTCAATTCTGAGAACTAGGAAAAGTGTTGGTACTTGTTTGTAAAATATGCCTTATAGAGAATGAGAACTTTGTAATTTGATCTTGTTTCCCACTTTACTTTGATTGCTGGGAAGCTCAGAGCTGAACCACCCACATCTTAGAGTTGTGCAAGGCCTTATGATAGGCGTTTCTGTGTTGCAACCTTACCTTGTGATTCATCTTTCTTGCTTCCTCTTATTTTCCCTTTATTCATATTAATTTATATTTTAAAAGCATTATTTTCAACTACTCATATTTCTGTAAGTCACCTTAAATTGTTTTGGAATCAGATGGGATATAAATAACAATGTAAAGCTTATTCATTGCCAGCAGAAAGCAAGCAAATTAAAGTGGGAGCCTTTTTTCCTCCTTGTGTCCCTTGCTGTACGTCCCCTCTTCATTTTGCAGGAATTTCTTAAGTCGCAGAGGTCTAATCTCGTCTGTGGTTTCTTAGACTTGCCAGGGGCAGGGGAATCCTTTCTGAAGCTTTTTGCCTGTACAGAGCTACCAGGTCTAGTTCCTTGTGCTAAGCATGCCTACACAAGAGTGCCTGGCTGAGAGAACAAGTACAGCTGAAATATATCCTAGAGAAGGAAAAGATGCCTTTTTCTCCCATGTCAGCTTAGAGGGGGTCTTTTTCTAACTCACAGGGTACCATATATATTACCCTGGGTTTTGTCCCTGCCCTTGTAATGTAAATTCTTTTTTGTTTTTTGAGGACGATTAGCCCTGAGCTAACATCTGCTGTCAATCCTCCTATTTTTGCTGAGGAAGACTGGCCCTGAGCTCACATCTGTGCCCATCTTTCTCTACTTTATATGTGGGATGCCAGCACAGCATGGCGTGCCAAGCAGTGCAGTGTCTGCACCCGGGATCTGAACTGTCGAAAACCAGGCTTCCGAAGCAGAACGTCCACACTTAACTGCTGTGCCACCGGGCTGGCCCCTGAATTGTAAACTCTTAATACCAAAAGTTGCTGACACTTGATGAAAACTACCTTGAATGGGCGCCAGGGTGGCCCGGGGTTCGCAGGTTCAGATCCCGGGTATGGACATGGCACCTCTTGACAAGCCATGTTGTGCTGGCATCCCACATATAAAGTAGAGGAAGATGGGCACAGATGTGAGCTCAGGGCCAGTATTCCTCAGCAAAAGGAGGAGGATTGGCGGCAGATATCAGCTCAGGGCTAATCTTCCTCGGGGGGAAAAAAAAACCTACCTTAAATGAAACAAAATTTCAAAATAATTTTCTTCTACATTTTTTTCATTATCTTCTAAATTTGACCCATTGTGGGAAACTAAGATAGTCATAGATCTTTGAAATAATCGAGATAATAATTTCCTAATTTAAAATTTAGTTTTGTTTTATATATGAATTACATGTTCAAAGCTACCTATTTAGTAGGAATTATATTTTAAGTTTTCTGTAAGGGAAATAAGGGCTATGTTTTTGCATTTCAGCTACCTGTAGGGTATTTGAATTATTTAATTTGACCAAGAAATGCAACTGAAACTGTTAATTCCTTAGTCATAGTTTTCTGAAAATTTGCTGTCTGTTTCATGTGTTATCCTAGTAAAGGCGGATGGGTAATTGCTTTTTGCAATAATGTCATTCAATATTGAATACATACTCCTTTCAAATGACACACATGAAGTGTTTGTAGTGAGACTGTTCTGAGATTCTGTACTCTTGGCAGTCTTGTCTACTAGGGTCTTCTTTTTGTTGTTACTGATTTTATTGTCACTTTGTTTTGTTTTCTATTTCCGTACATTAGAATTTTATTTTGCAAACAGAGTAAATATAAACCTGATTTAAGTAATATAATTTAACGCTTTGACATGATTATATTGTTGTAAAAGAGTTGTCAAGAGCTCTTTGCATTAAAGTTAAAGCATCTGTGTTCATAATAATTAGAATGTAGATGCATGGGGCTGGCCCCGTGGCCGAGTGGTTAAGTTCGCGCGCTCCGCTGCAGGCGGCCCAGTGTTTCGTTGGTTTGAATCCTGGGCGCGGACATGGCACTGCTCATCAAACCACGCTGAGGCAGCGTCCCACATGCCACAACTAGAGGGACCCACAACGAAGAATATACAACTATGTACCAGGGGGCTTTGGGGAGAAAAAGGAAAAAAATAAAATCTTTAAAAAAAAAAAAAAAAAAGAATGTAGATGCATGGCCTTAGTGTATGTAAACTTTTTTAAGATAAATACAATTTTGTAGATTAAAAATATTTAGGAGATTTGTTTTAAAGGAGGGAAGTAGTTTATCATTTGACAGTGTGTTTGTTTTTTTTATGCCCTTAATTTAAATCAACCTCATTTAACTATACTAGAAATTTCAGAGAATGAAAAAACAGCAATTTTGGGCAAAAAGACTAAGTACAGGAAACTTAGTTTTCAAGCTACTAATTTTTTTTAAATGCTCACAGGTAAATATTTTAAGTTTTGTTTTCTTTTTGAAATACCAATTTAAAATAATGCCAGGAGTAGCTTCAATTTATGTAGACTTTTTGATTCATTCATATAATTGAGATATTTTTTCCCAAAGATTACCACATAAATTGTAAAGTCATGTTTTTTTGGAGGAGCTTGTCCTAATAAAAATAGGCTTATGCTTTGACTAAAAATTTAATTTTTATATTCTTTATAACTCAGAAATGTCTTTTATCTGCTTTCTTGAAGTAATTGAAATTTAAAGACTTTTCCGTATATTTAGCAGGTTTTTGAACAGTTGTTCTCAGGGGTTTTTTTTAAACCTTGTTAGCATTGCCTTGTTTTTACAATTTACTTGCCAGAAGTAATTTTTAAAACCTGCTTAAACAGATTCATTTTTCAAGTATTCCTTATTATAAACTGTGTGCCTATGCATGTCAGGATTAAGCCTTCCTTAAAAAAGGAAGAAAGACAGAACTCTTTATTGTCTGTTTTGACGTTAATAAAATTAAGAAAAGAACGAATACTTGAGACTCAGCCTTACCTGGCTTAGTTTTGTCACGTGAGCATTCACGTTTACTGGTGATCTGTGTGCTCCACCTGCCTTTCAGTTTGTTTACCAGGAAATCAAGATGTGTAAACTGCAGGAAGTACTATTTGACCCTCTCCGACAGTATCTCATTACAATAATTGCTAATCTCTGAATAAGACAGCCATGTTTTGTGAGTAACTGAGAGAGAGAGGTTGTGTTAGGTAGATTTTAGGTGTTTCAACAAATAGAGCATTGTAAATGCTTACTTGGATTATGTTTTCACCATAGCGTTTGATAAAAGACATATGGTGACCTTTGGGGTCAGCAAAGCTAGGACACAATAGTAGCTGTTCTTTCCTGCCTTTTAATTGAGAAATATCACGGCTTGTTTGGGAGTGCTGTCACTGCTCTGAATCGAAAGGATAATGGCTACTTCCTGATTAAACCCACTCTCCACAGTAAGCTGTTAATGTTATACTGTATGTCTTTTTCTCCTGTAAATGCAATAGCATTTGGTGTTTTCTTTACTTTTTATCATTGTCTTTTCATAGATATAGCTGTTATAAATATATTCTGAAGTTGAAGTTTAAAATTAGAGTAGAAACTACTGTTTTAAGTTTGGAGGATTTTTTTTTTTTAATGAAAAAGTATTTCTGTTTGGAATCAAATCCAACCATCTCATATACTTGTTGTAGATTTTGGCTAAAGAAATTAGCTTTTTAAAAAGACATTGAAATGATAAATTATTTTAAGCTGTCACTTTCTTGGCACTCTAAGTAAAATTTAAAAAATAATTTATATAGTAAATCAGATTAATTTCTTCAGGGATTATTTGGATGAACTAATTTTATTTTTGTTTAATAAATTTCATAAATCTATTTACATATTGCTGTAATTATTTTAAGTATTAAATTATTGTTCTTAAATTAGTTAAGAGATCTTTGTGATGTAAAAACAACATTAAGTACGCAGAATATAAGAAGGGAATAATGAGCTTCTTAGTTTTAATCCTAAAGCTGGCAGTCACTCCATCTGTGGTCGTGGGACAATCACTTAAACTGCTTACCTCAGTTTTCTTGTCTGCTGTCCATATGAATGCTAAGTAAAATCTACAGTTTGTTTATTTCTTTATGGCGGTACAAACTATAAAGAAAATGAGTTTTCACAAGTATTTTTTAAAATGGAGAACTGACTCTGAAGATAGGACAGGAAAATATTTAGGAGTCACAGTAGATGAGGAAATAATAGAATAATTATTTCTAGTATAAGATAATAGACAATAAGGTTTAAAATAAACACCATATAATTGGCCTTTTAATTTGAACAGAAGTGTTAGTTTTGCTCAGTCCTTAATATAACATTACCAAAGGATTATACATGCTGTTGGAAACATGACAAAAATGAGAAGTGGAAAGCTTGGAATGATTTAGTAAAGAGTCACAAATATTCTTAAAGTATTTAAGTTTTTCTCAAAAGTCTTTTTCCTGGAAATGAGATTATTCACAGTAGAAGGAAGAAAGTATGTATGTATTATAGGCCTGTAAGTATAGTTCGTCTAAATTGCAAGATGTTTAATTTTAAACTCTAGTATTAAGTATCTTGGTTATATAAAAGAAAACACGTTATGAAATTATTAAGCATTGAAGGCAGTTATTGAAGATGGTTATAGAACCTAAGATCCAGAAATATTTAAAAATGTTCTGGGATAATGTAAATAGAATCCTACTTTTATTTAGAGAACTGAGGTACCTTCTTTTGCAAAATGGTTATCAAAGTTGTTTTAGGTAACCTGGTAATTTTTAATATAAATTATTGGTGCATTCCAACGATATTCTAAAGATTTTATTTAGTGAATATTCTGAGTCAAGTTATTCAAGTAGGACACATAGTAGTGCCTCTACCTAATTTGTAATAACAAATAGTAGATGTCATTTATTGAATGCTTAATATGTGCAAACCACTGGACTAATGCTGTTGTGGGAGAGGCAAACTTTTACCTTTATCCTCTCAGAGTTCTTTTAGGCTGGGCCTGAGAAGTAAATTGACATAAGACAGATCAACAGGTGAAAAGCATACAAATTTGTTTAATACAAGCTTTATGTGACACAGGAGTCTGCGTAGGAACAAAGACCCAAAGAAATGGCGAAACCTACTTGTTTTATATTAGGTTGAACAAAGAGAGGCAATTGTGCAAAAGTGACTAAACTATGTGGGGAGGCTAAAGGGAGATAAGAATTATTTTAACAAAGTCTGTTTGTGTAGAATTCTCTGGGTCTCAACTTTTTGTCCTTGATGAAAAGAATGTTACCTTCCCCCTGGTATAGGGAGGACATCTTTCATATAGGAATTTCATTTAGTGCTTTTAAGAAAAAGAAGGAAGATCAGAGTGTTCTTCTTGTGTTTGCTGTTTCTCAAGTGCCTTTAGCTCGAAGTAGTCAATATGCTGGAGCAGCATATTTTGGAGTGGCATGTTCTGAACTCTACTATCATCTCATTTTATATTTGTGATAATCACATGAGGTGCAGGTACCATCATTATTCCCATTTTTACTGATAAGGAAGTAGTTGTAGAGAATTAATGATTTCGTCAGTGTTCTTTAGTTTTGGTCTGTCGGACCAGAAACGCTAACAGAATCCAAAATCCAGAACTCAGTCTTCAGTGTCATGCCTTTCAGCACTGTGTTTATATTTTGGAGATAATAAAGGTGTGTACACCTTTGATTTAGATGGTTTTATATTTTTCATCAGTTTATCAAATATTATGGAGTGCTTACTAAGTGTCAGACACTGTAAGGAAGTACTGGCAATAATAATGGAAAGCAAAATAAAATCCTTTGTTTCAAGAAACTTACAGTTTAGTGGGAGAGGCAGGAAATTAACAGGCCTTTACAGTACAGTCTTATAACTGACATAATGGGGGTCAGCTCAGGGTGCTATAGGTGAGATAAACAATTATCTGAGATAGTCTTTTATTTACATATTTAATTTGCACTTTTGGGTGCAGTTCTAGGTACATGGGATATATCAGTAAATAAAACTTTTCAAAAGTCTCTGCTCTTGTGCAATGTATATTTTACTGGGGATGGAGATAAACAATAAGCATAATAAATAGGCGTATAGCATGTTAGAAGGTGACAAGTGTTACAGAGAAAAGAAACAGTAGAGCAGGATAAGAAGGCTGTGGTGGTGATGGGTTGCAGAGGCTGGGGAAGGATTTACAGAGAAGGTGATATTTGAGCAAAGACCAAGGAAGTTAGCTATGTGGATATCTTTGGGAAGAGCCTTCCAGGCACAGGGCTTGAGATGGGAGCATACCTGATGTGTTCAGAGTGATGAACAGGGGGCCAGGGTGATGGGAGCAGAGTGAGGGAGAAGAGAGAGTAGGAGGAGGTATTGACAGAGGTAATGGGTGGGAGGGTCAGATCATGTAGGGCTTTAAAGAACACTGTAAAGACGGAGGAGCCATTGCAGGGCTTTCATTAAATCTGGCTCATATTTTTAAAGGATCACTTCAGTTACTATGTTGGGAATAGACCATAGGGAGGCATTGACCACCAGTTAGAAGGCTCTGGTGATTGAAGTGATTGAAGGTAGGGGGTTCGATAAGGGTGATAGCAGTCAAATTCTGTGTGTTTTTAGGGTACAACCAAAAATTGTTTCTGATAGATTGGATGTGGGATATGAGAAAAAGAGAAGACAAGAGGACTCCAAGGTTTTTGGCTGAGCAACTGGAAGGATAGTGTTGCCATCAACTGTGAGATGAGGAAGGTTTTCAGATGGAGCAGGTTTGGGAAAGGGATGGGGAATCGGGAGTTTGGTTTTGGATGTCGTAGAATTTTAGGTGTCTAGTAGATATGCAAGTGGAGGTTGTGGAAGGGCTTTCCAGATGAGATACCATCTAAATTGAGGCTGAAGAATGAATTGGACTTACTCAAAGAGGTGGTTTATGATGAAATTTATGAGCATAGTTTATACAATTTAATAAATCTTGGCAATTTCTACTTCACGTGTTTATGAACCAGAGTAACACCTAAACATCTAAAAAGTAATGACATTTAAAAAGTAATAAAGTTATTTATATCAAAGAACAAATTATTCTGGGTGTTTACATTTTCAGAGTATTTCAGTGACTACTGTATTCATGAGTTGTACTGGGTGCTTTTATGTTATGTCGATTCTCACCATAGTGCCATAAGGTAAATATTATCCTCATTTTACATTTGGAAAAACTGAGTCTGAGGGAGATTAAAATTGCCTAGGGTAATTGATATATTAGGTGATTTTTCTGGATTCAGATCTAGGTCTTTAGATTCTATTGCCCATGCTCCTTATTTTAAAAATGTATATTTTCAACTTGTAGATTTTAAAAACTTTTAGTTAAGGTCTCAAGGAGTTATCTTTTTGAACATTACTTATTCTGTATTGTAACATAGTGATACTTTGGAACATATGTTTGTAGATTTTTAATCATGGAGTCACGGCATGATCAAGGCTTGAATTCCTTGATCATAGGAACTTTTGAATTCCTACGCAGCCTTCAGTACAGTTACCCATTACAGACACTCCCTTCACTCCTAGCCTCCATTTCCGTGTGTGGTGCTTAATATATGCTTAGAAATTTTTATCTTGTATCATCATCATCTTTATCCCTCTTTCTAATATGCTATAAATTTGGGAATCCGAACCCAAGCTTGTTGGAATCATGTGTAAATTATTAAAACCTCAGAGATTAAGGGCATGAGGACTTTCTAATTAATGAAGAATGAGTTTTAACTCATGTATTTTGTCTGATGGAAACCATTTTTTCTTTCCTTCCCTTTATTGTCTATTTTCTGGGCAAGTGAATTTGATAAATAGCTGTGTTTCTGACTGGAAAAGCAATATTCTCTGAGATGCCAGTGGGTATTTTCACTGTAAAAGTGCACATAAGTCATTCTACTTCAGTAGGTATAGAAATATAGTTGTTCATTGAAGCAGATTTACGTTTGATGTAATGATACTGTATTTTAAAAACTTAAACCTTTTGCCTTTAGATAAAAATATCTTATTTCTTAAATTCTTAAATTTCATAAACTTCATGTGACTTAATACTGTTTAAGTTTATGATATGTTTTTAAAGACACACTTAAGAGCACGTGGTTCACACATTCTGCAGGAAAGACATACTTTAGCAAAAACATTTTACGCATTTTTTAAAGTACTAATTAAAGAAAAAACAAACCTTGCTGTGGATTAAAATAGCCTATAAGCCTAAAAGGTCATTTTAAGCATGTACTAAGGACATAGGTAGGAAATTTACCTAGCCTTTATGTTTCTGTTCTATAAATATATGACTTTATTTAGAGTGTGCTGTTTTATACATTTTTCAAATTTTTATGCTATTTTTTCAAAAGAATAAAAAATATATCTATTCATCCTTCATATTTCTTCTAAAGTCTTCCTTTTCTTTGATTATTAT